TTTTGGAAGTTTGTTTGGAATTCTTGGAAAGTTTCCCGGGGACCTTTTGAAGGCAGTTTGGGAAGCCTCTTGGGGGCCGTTTGTGGTTCTCTTGGGGCGTCCTTTTGGGCCTCTTTGGAGCCTCGCGCGGCCTCTAGTGGGCATCTAGGGGGCCTTTTGGGCTCTGGTTGGGGCCTCTTGGGCCTCCTGGGGGCCTCTTGGGGCGGAAGGCTCGAATTATCGGTTCGTGATCCCCCTCTCGGGCCCCTCTTGAGCCTTTTTGGGGCCGTCCCAGGGCCCTCTCAAGCGATCTCGGGCCCCTCTTGGGCCGTTATGAGGCACTCTTGGGCCGTTTTGGGACTCTCTTGCGCTGTCGCGGCGCCCTCTTTGGGCGCCTCTCGCGGCGCCTTCTTCGGGGGCCTCGCGGGCAGCGCCTGGAACGGGTTCTTCTGAAGGGCCGTTTCGCCGGCAGCGGGCGCCGCCTGCGGCGCCGCGGGGGCCCGCAGCAAGACGCGTTCGGCCACGCCCTCCTCCTCGGCGGCGACAGCGGACAGACGGGTTCCCCCCTCCATGCAAGCAACGGAGGAAGACTGCATACGTATGCCCACCAGTTGTTCCAGCTGCCATCGCTGCGCAACTGCGATACCGCCCCATGAAGCAACCCGCGTAGATTCCATCCGTGGGGGGGGCGTGATGACGTAGCCGAGGCGATCCCAGATCCTAGCTTCAGGCGAGCACGCTGCGTCGCCGTCTGAGGTAGCCGCATAGCTGGAGCGTTCCGCAACGCCCTGACTTTCATGAAGGTCGACCTCAGACCACGCCCGCCCTCTGGCGAGTCTGGCTCGGCAGGCGCGGTGATAGCTCCTTGCGCCGTGCGCTGGCTCGCCCCCATCCTCGGCGTCGGTCGAAGGCGCGGGGCTCCACGGCGATCGCGCCGCCACCGAACGCGCGGCCCTCCAGCGCGGGCAACTTCGGCTAGCGATGGCGCATGGAAGGAGGAGAAGCAAAACGCGCCCCGCCATCAGCCCACGCATGCTGCGCGGGGGCTCGCGACCCCGCCGACGCGCGAGAAGCGCCAAGGATCGTTCGAGCCAGGGCCTTCTAAGCGCGCCCCCCGTCATCCGCCACTTCGCGAATCACGGAGGAACCCCGCCAACGCTCCCACCCGGGACTCCCCACGTGATAAATACGTCCCCTCCTAGCCCGCGCGCGACGTCCATCGCGCGCCTTTCCGAGTTTCAGCGCGCCTCCCGTCGCCCGACAAGCCACGGCCATGGCGGGATCCCGAGACACTACCCCCCCGGGCCCCAAAGTTGATAAACGCGCGCCCCCCCCCCCCCCCCCCCAGTCGCGAACAGCGCCCATCGCGCGACCCCTCGAGTCCGAGAGCGCTTCCCGTCATCCGCCAACGAACGACCCCGTGCAGACCATAACTATATATAAATATACACTAGAACCATCGCGCGCTTCGCGCGCGCTTTGGTCCCAGTCGAGGCCAAGGACTAATCGGATCAAACTTCGTCGAAACGCGCCCGGGAAACAAGTCGACGGAAGACTCGAACAAACATGACAGAGCTCGTCCTTAACGCTCGCGCTGCTTAGCGCCCTGGGCGTTCGCGCTGCTGTCTGATCGACTAAAGTCCGCTCAAACAGGTTGTCTGTCTGGGGCCTCTGGCATGCGCGTTGGGATCTCGTGGTTGGTCTCTCGGGGGCCTCCTGGAGGTCGCTTTGAAATCCTGGGAACCGCTTCGGGGCCTTATTGGGCCTCGCGCGGGCCAAGGCCTCTCGGGGGCCTCTCGGGCGCCTCCAGGGGCCTCTTGGGGCCTCTCCTAGGGACCTCTTGGGGCAGAAGGCTAGAATGTCGGTCCGCGGTCCGCCTCTTGGGCGCTTCTTGGAGCCGCCCTGCCGCCCTCTTCGGGTTTCTAAAGCCTCTCGAGGGGGCCCTGAGCCCCAGAGCCCGAGGGGAGGGAAAGAGAGAGGGAGGTGGAACGGAAGAGGAGGAAGGGAGGAAGGGGAGAGAGAAAGGGGGAGTGGAGGAGGAGGGAGGGGGAGTGGGGGAGGAAGAAGAGGGAAGGGACGGAGGGAGGGAGGAGGATCCCGGATTTTGGATGCGCTTCCGGCACCGACGTTCACCGCGAGATGCAACGACTCATGCCGCTCACACTTGCACCGAGCTGGCCTGGCCCCGCCGACCCCCTGTGGGTCTCTTGGCGTATCAGAATTTTTCCCTCCATAAGCCCCCGCTGGGTTTGGCCTATAGGGGGTATCTCTCGGGGGCCTCTTGGAGCCTCTGAGGGCCAGGGGCCTCCTGGGACCTCCTTGGGCGGAAGGGTCGGATTTTCGGTTCGGGCTCCCCCTCTTGGGCTCCTCTTGGAGCCCAAGAGGGACGTCTTTGTGTCTTGGCCCCCTCTTGGGGGTCTCTTGGGGTGTCTTGGCCCCCTCTCGGGACGTCTTTGTAGTCTCTCGGGCAGTTTTGGGACTCTTTGGGGGGCCTCTTGTACCGTCGTCACCGCTGTGAAGACCGACAAGTCGTAGATGCTAAGAATATACGTTTTCCTATTCAAAATTAATGATTTTGGCCTCTTGGGACCCTCTTGGAAAGCCTCCTGGGGGCCTCTTGGGGCGTCTTCGCGGCCCCTAGGGCACTGTGAGAACCGTCTTTTGGGCGCCCAAGGGCTAGCTTTGAGCGCTCCCGGGCCGCCATGGAACGCCTTGGTAGCCTCATGGGGCCCTCTGGCCACGCCTTGGCCGCCCCTCGGGCTGTCTCGGGCCGTGTTGGTAGCCTTTGGGGGCCGTCTTTGGGGCCTCTTGTACCGTCGTGCACGCCGTGATGACAGAAAAGTCGCAGACGCTAAAAATGTACGTTTCTTATGCAAAATCAATGATTTTGGCCGCTTCGGGCTCCCTTGGAAAGCTTCTCGGGGCGTCGTAGCGGCCTCTGGGGCTCTATGGGAGCCATCTTGGGCGTCCAGGGGCGATCTTTGAGGGCACTGGGGCCGTCTTAGACCGATTTGGGAGCCTCTTGGGGCTCCGTGGACACGTCTTGGCCGCCTCTTGAGCACGCCTTGGCCGCCTCTGGGGTTGTCTTGGGCTCCCCTTGGGCCGTGTTGGGAGCCTCTTGGGCCGTCTTGGGGCCGTCGTGGGGGCCTCTTGTACCCTCGTGCACGCCGTGGGAACCGAAAAGACGCATGCTGAAAATGCACGCTTTCCACTGCAGAATCAATGACGTTGGCCGCTTGAGGGTCTCTTGGAATGCAAACTGGGGCGTTGTAGCGGCTTATTGGGCTCAATGGGAGCCATCTTGAGCGTCGAGGGGCAATCTTTGAGCGCCCCGGGGCCGTCTCGGACCGGTTTGGGGGCCACTTGCGCCTCCCTGGGCACGTCTCGGCCGCCTCTTGGCCCGGACAGGAGCGCTCCTGGAGCCCCGGGTCGGCCATGGGGGACGCAGGTACTGGCCTGGCGGCCCCGATCCCCTTCCGCCGGCAGATAGATAGATACATACATATCTATATATATATATATATATATATATATATATGTAGATATAGATATGCATGTACATGCACGCACACATACATTCATTCATACATGCATACATGCATACATGCATACGAGCATGGCGACGAGGGCCTCTCAGGAGGCCCCCGAGGGCGAAAACGAGAGAAGCATAGCGGCATCAGCACCTTTGCCCTCCTCTGGCCCACGGAGGTCGGCGGCGGAGCCGGCGGCCTCTCCGTAGAGGGCACCCCAGAAGCTCCAGCTGGAGGCCTCGCCCTCCGTCCTCCGCCGCCCGCCCCACGTCTCCCGAGCCCGTGGCGGGGTCATCAGCTCGTCGCTGTGGCTGTCGTCGTGGTCGGCGTCGTCGTCCATCTGGGTCTAGGAAGGCACCAACTATACACCAACACCGATCCTGGCCAGGATCACCCTCGGCCCAGGATCGGTGTATACGCCCTCCTGCCTTGGGCAAGAAGGCATATACACCGATCCTGGGCCCAGGGTGATCCTGGGCCAGGGTCGGCGGCACCGGCCGTACGGCAGGTCCGTGTCGTGTCGACCCCGGCGCTGGTTCCTGACACCGCGTGGATCGTTCAGCCTTGAACGATCGGTCGTTTCCGCAACGTCCGATCGTTCAACGTCGACCGATTCTGGGCCGTCGACGGCGTTCAACGTTGAACGCCGGCGGCGAGGTCGCCGCCGGTCGACACGACGCGAACCTACCGTAAGGCCTTCACAGTAACAACAGCCCCAGACTCGCTATCGCTCGGACGTCCATGCCCCGTGTTTTTTTTCGGCTCCGCGCACGTTTTCCTCCGGTGCACACGCGTGGGTTCCGTCTGGTCATTGGCCGCTCGGGCTCGCGTTCCTGCCCGCGGCTTATTACAGCGACATTGCTGTCCGTCTTGGCCTCGCTTCCGTTTGCGGTTCGGCTGGAGCTTGGCGCCGCAAGGGCGGCTTCTCCCCCCCGTTCCGTTGCCGGTGGCCGCGCCTTTTGCTTCCCCACCAGCCGGGCTGTCTGGGCCGGTCACCAGCAGACGCTGAAATGCGTCTCAATGAGGGGCATTTTGTCCCTGGCATGTGCATGCGCTGCGTGTGTTGTCCGCTGGAATCCGCGGCAATCTCGCGCCAATTGTCGACGTACCGCGCCCCGGACATTGTGCTCGCTCCATGTCTCTCGCCTTGGAGCCGCGAACCAAAAAAAAATGTTTTTCTCCGCAAATGATCAAAACAAGTCTCTTCGATGGTCTCGCCGAAGGAAACGTGGGCGCCCGAGCGATGACAAGCAGAAGGCAGGAGAGGCCAGAATCGAATCGACGAGCCGGATCTGCAATCGAAATGACTCGGGTCGGCGGAAATGGGCAGCCGAGTCGGGAAAACTCGCATCGGCGGAAATCGGCAGGGCTAGTGGGACTCCATTGAGGAATCGGCATCCACATCTGAATCCCAAGTCGAATGGAATCGGAATCGGAAGCCATCGAAATCGAACCGAATCGAATCGGAGGAATCGAAACGAGCCCTGGCGCGGGGGGGGCGCGGCCAGGGGCAGCGGCGGCGCCAGCTGCCATCGGCACATCGGACGCCCTGGCTCGGCGGCGAGCGAGGGAGGGGTCGGAGGCAACTTCCGTCGGGGCGTTGACCAAAGGCATCCCAAAGAAGGAACGAGGCCCCTCTTTCCCACAAGTTGAACTTCGATACCCCCTCGAAACAGAAGGAAAACCTAAGGTAGGCTGTAAAACAACTACGAAACGACTAAGGAACACTGAGCCCCTCCCCAACGAAAAGGGCTCGTTCTTCAGCGCCCCGACTGTAAAGTCTTCGTCGGAAGGATTCGTGAGAATCCCACCAGCCACCAGCCCTCTGGGCGTCGGTGGTTTAGAGCGTTTCCTCTTCCACCCCTCCTTCTTCCCCTTCGGGGAGGGGTTGACCCCTCCCCCTACCCCCTCCCCATGGACCTGGACAGGGGGTCTCGCGAGTCGTCGGAGCGTCGCAAACGCCCTCGGCGAGGAAGCCAAAATCATTGATTCCCTACCTAGGCTCTGCCTAGAAGGGTTCTTACCGTGTGTGCTTAAAAGGCCGGGCAGTGTTGCCCGCCCCGGGCGGTTCCCCCAGGATCCGCCCCGTGGTTTCCCCAGTGACGTCCCCTTTAGTTTAGCGTTGCGTATCTCATCTTAGCTTAGCTTATTTCATATCAGTTTCGCTTAGCTCAGCTTAGCTTAGCGTCGCGCAGCATTAGCATAGCATAGCATAGCATAGCATAACATAGCATATGATAACATAGCATAGCGCAGCATAGCATAGCGCACCCTAGCCTAGCCTAGCATAGCATAGTATAGCATAGCATAGCATAGTATAGCATAGCATAGCATAGCATATCATATCGCAGCATAGCATAGCATAGCACAGCATAGCTTAGCATAGCTTAACATAGCACAGCGCAGCGCAGCATAGCATAGCATAGCATAGTATAGCGCAGCATATCATTGCATAGCATAGCATTGCATAGCGCAGCATGACATAGCATAGCATAGCATAGCATAGCATAACATAGCATAGCATGGCATAGCATAGCATAGCGCAGCATAGCATAGCATAGCATAGTATAGCATAGCATAGCATAGCAAAGCATAGCGCAGCATAGCACATCATAGCATAGCCTAGCATAGCACAGCGCAGCATAGCATAGCATAGCATAGCATAGCGCAGCATAGCATAGCATAGCATAGCGTAGATGTAGATGTTGCTTTCCTAGATGCTCCAACTCCTAGGTAGGGTCGCACTGGGATAATTGTACTAGGGTGTTGGCACCATGTTGGCCTTCTGAAGGGGGGACCCTGATCCGTACCCCCCCCCCCCCTTCTTTGATCGATCTCCTCCGAGATGGCCCCAAGAGCGCTCCCAAGGCTCCCAAGAGTGTCCCCAGAGGGCCCCAAGAGGTGGCCAGGAAGCCCCAAGAGGCCCCCAGGAGGCCCCCAAGAGGCTCCCAAGAGACCTCCAAGAGACCTCCAAGAGGCCCCAAGAGGCCACCCAGAGGCACCCAAGACGCTCCAAGAGGCCTCGGCGACAATGTCAAAATCGTTGAATTTACTTAGGTTTTGGCTACATTTTGGCCTCCTGGGGGGGGGGCACTGCTTCAGATGACTCCAAGAGCGCCTGGGAGAGCCAAAGATGATCTCCAAGATGGCTCAAGATATCCCAAGATGCGTCAAGATGGCGCCCACGATGCTCCGAGGCCCCAAGACCGCTCCAAGACGGCTCCAAGTGGCCGAAGAGCTCCCCCAGGAGGCCCCGACGAGGCCAAAATCCTTCCAAAACCATTGGAAAATTATTGTGTTTGGCTTTCTCACCGAGGCCTCAAGATGGCTCCAAGATGGCCCAAGAGGGCTCCAAGAGCGCTCCCAAGGTTCCCAAGAGCACTTCAAGAGGGCCCCAAGAGGCGTCCAGGAGACCCCAGGAGACCCCAACAGGCGCCGTAGAGGCCTCGAAGAGGCTCCCAAGAGACCCCCAAGAGGCCCCACGAAGCTCTCCAAGGCACCCAAGACGCTCTAAGAGGCGCCCGGGACCGCCAAGAGGCCCTCAAAACGCTCCAAGAAGCATCCTTTGGGGGACCCTTTCTCTGTGTGCTGCCCGCTTCCCTGATCGAGGCAATTCCTCTGGGCATCGTTTCTGGATGCGTCAACAATTGAGCCCTATTAGGGGGCTGGTACGTCTGAGTAGGCCACGGATTCAGAAGTACTAAGCGGGACCAAGCGGGACCAAGCGGGACTAAGCAGGACCAAGAGGGACTAAGCGGGATTAGGCGGAATTAAGCTGGATTACGGACCAGGGCAAAATCAGAATTTTGCCTTCCAGGAGCTGCATCCGGAGGGGAGGAGAGGGAAGAACAGGACGGAGGCAAAATCGAGCCAAAATTGGACCAATAGACGTCGGGAATCTCTGAGAATCGGCGGGCTTGGTCGACGTGTGGGGCGCCGAGGCCGTTTCAGGGCACTTCGGAACGCTCCGAGACCGTTGCGGAATGCTCTGGAACGGATTCATCTGGATGCGAGCCCGTCCGAAGGAAGACCCTCTCAGGAGCCGGCGGGGCTTCTCAGAAGCCCTCGGGCCTTCGGATCAGTTCTCCGTGCGCTCGGGGAAGGCTCGCAAAACTTCTCCGGAGGCCACGACGCCAAGAGCTTTCCGGGAATCTCCTGAGGTTATGAGGAAGGGTCGGGGCGGAGAGGAGACTGCCAGGGCAGGAAGGGGGCTACGTGGGCGGTTCCAGCGCCATTAGAGGAGGAGGAGGAGGAGGAGGAGGAGGAGGAGGAGGAGGAGGAGGAGGAGGAGGAGGGGGGAGGAGGAGGGAGGAGGAGGAGGGGAGGAGGAGGAGGAGGAGGAGGAGGAGGAGAGGAGGAGGAGGAGGAGGAGGCGGAGGAAGCGGAGGAGGAGGAGGAGGAGGAGGCCAGAGGACTGCCGAGCACGAGCAGGAGGCACGCCCCCCTCGCACCTCCCCCCCGCGGGCTCCGGCCAGCGACGGGCGCTCGAGGAGGGAGGTCGCGGCAGTGGAGCCCGCCCATGCCCAGGCCTCTGGCGTTGCGATTTTCAGGGGGCCACAGGCGAACCCCACTCCAGATTTCGTCATAAAAGGGAGGGGGGTCTCATTTCGGGGGGGGTCTCTTCCAGGCTATCCTGGAGGGCCTGGGGGGGTCTGGGGACGATGCTTTGGAGGGTTCTCCCACCGGGGGGGGTCTGAAATGGCTTGTCTTGGAGGGTCCAGACCCCCTCCCTTTTACTACGAGATCTGGAGTACCCCTTACCCCCCACGATTTCTGAGGTTCACTGCGATCGGGAGGTCCACCCCCCCGCAGAAATCGTGGGGGGGAAGGGGTAGGGTTCGCATGTGGCCCCCTGATTTTTTCGATCCGAGCGTTCTTCCTAGATTTTGGCCTCCGCGACCCGTTGTCGGGCGCTGGTGCCATCAAAAACGAAGCCAGGGCGAAAGAATGCTCCTGCGTGAAGGGTTGGGACCGCCGGGGCCGCGCACTGAACAATCGCATCGTCGGATGTCTGGGGATGCTGGGGGTTGCTAACGTGTCCCTGGCGAAGGTGTTCCCAGCTTTTCGTTCCACTGGAGCCCCTTGGGCACTCTGGGCCTCGTGAGCAGTGCTCCAGAGGCCGTGGGGGTCTCCTAGAATTCCTGGGAGCATCTAAGGCTAAGGCCAAGGACACCTTCGGCAACACCCAAACACGGGAGCCCGCCACAAGGGGTCTGGACCAGATGGGATCGAAGGATCCCAAAAAATCTGCAATTCATCAGAATGGAGACGATCGACGGGGCCCTGAGAAGTGGGACCCAAGAACGCGGAGACCTGGAAGAGTACAAAGCTCCACCAGGGGGCCCTCTCTATCCTTGGAGCCCTCTCCTTCGGGGCCCCATGAGTTGCAAGGATAACGGAGGGACAGGCTCAGGAGGGGAAAACATTGCCAGAATCGGTGATGCATCGCCGACAGATTGGCGATGGATCCCTCGGAGTCCTCGCCCTCAGGGCCCCGCCTTCGAACCACCGCTGCTCCAGCCACTGCCTCGGCGAGCAAAAGCAGGGAGAACGGAAACGGAGCCCCGGCAACTCCGTTCCTTGACGATGATGATGATGATGGTGATGGTGATGGTGATGGTGATGGTGATGGTGATGGTGATGGTGATGATGAGGATGATGATGATGATGGTGATGGTGATGGTGATGGTGATGGTGATGGTGATGGTGATGATGACGATGATGATGATGTTGATGATGATGACGATGATGCTTATGATGGCGGAGATTGCGATGGCGATGATGATAATGGCGGAGATGGTGATGATGATTGCGGCGATGCTTATGATGGCGGAGATTGCGATGGCGATATGACGATGCTGCTGATGATGACGATGGTGATGGTGATGGTGATGGTGATGATGACGATGACGATGAGGCGGACGATGATGATGCTGATGATGATGATGTGGACGACTCCGTGGCCAGACGATTCTTTTTGTGCAAGAGGGCGCCAGGCGAGGACACGAAATCTGATGCCGCAGGGGCCAGCACCAGGCCAAAGAAACATTCTTGAGTTGGGAGAAAAGGGGGGGAGGGAGAGACTTGAGAATGGAAGCGCGGCCCGAAAGAGAGCCACAAATAGCCGCGGGCAGCATAATGTGGACGACTCCGTGGCCAGACGATTCTTTTTGCGCAAGAGGGCGCCAGGCGAGGACACGAAATCTGATGCCGCAGGGGCCAGCACCAGGTATTATGGCTAGTCCAAGACACTGGCTGAAAGCCGCAATACTTGAATGAAAACTCACACACATCTAGATAGTCGGGAGACATATCGAAGGCTATCGACGCTGTTGGCCATCATTTCACCTGCGAATCGCAGGATACAGGCAGGTGGGTGGCGCGCAGCGCTGCGCATCCGACGGTCTAACGATGGGATGCCTAACTCGCCGAGATGTCGCTTCCGAGTGCGACGGCGACGGCGACGGCACGGCAGGTGAACAGGTCAGGGATTGCCGATCAATATCTTTCACGTTCCAGCTTACAAGTCGAAATCTGTTTTTGACGCGGCCAGAGTACATGCAGGAGTCGAAAACTGTCGAAGAAGAACTCTGGCTCACAAGAGTGGTGCACGCACGGCCATCCCATATAAAAGACGCGTCGGGATGGCACAATATGGCAGGCACGTTCTTATCACAGCATTCAGACAGGACGCGCCAGTACTGATCCTGAAAAAGGTTGGCGATGCAAACAGATCGAGCTTTAAAGTTGGTCAAGGTAGGGAGGCCGCGAGGATACAGCTTAGAACGCACGGCAGGCGACTGCCGAAGCCAGGTGGCGGCGTCGGGCTCGACCCACACGCACGAGAGGCAGCTAGAACGAATCCAGCCTAAAACGCGCCGCATCACTGCGGGATCGGTGATGTCGTCACCTGCGCGGCGACCCGTGTCGAGGTGCACGACGCCGAAGCCCAACCGCTGCAGGGCGTGGGCCGCGCCACCGTCGCAGCCGAGCACCAGCGCAGGGCAGTGCCTGCTTCTCGTAGAAGCCCGCCTGGCAGAGCGCCACAGGCGCGTCAGGCGAAGGCCCACCGTGCAGTGATCTGTGGGGGCGGCGGCCTGACAGCAGGCGGCGTCGGCGCCACTGCCAGCGGCACCTGCAGTGGGAAGACGCCCGAGGCCGTGGTCTGGAGGATGAGGTCGTTCATCTGCCTGTCCACCTGCTCGCCGAATTCGACGACGTTCTGGCCTAGGCTGGCAATCCGCTGCTGCATGCGGGCCCGCTTCGCGTAGCGGGGGGGGCTCTGGTCCGTCCTCCAGCGGCCGCGGTCCTTGACCTCCGTCCTCGTGCGCCTGAGCGACAGCAGGTCGTCGGACGCACCCCCATGACGAAGCGAGTAGAGAGTCAACTCGGTCTCCAGACCGAGGGCAGCTGCCGCTCGACGGAACACGCTCCGCACCTCGTCGGGGGCGAAGGTCCACAGGCCGTCGGCCGGGCCCTTGTCGTGCACCAGGGCCTCCAGGAGCGGCCAGATGGTCGGGTTGTCGACAATCACGCTCTCGCCCATCTCGCCTGTCTTGCCAGGGCGGTCGAGGCAGGCGTCGCTGACGATCAGGGCCCAGTGGCCGTATCCCAGGGCGCCGTCGGGTCGAGGTCGCATCACGCTCCCCGCCGCGAGGCGGCATGCCTCGCTTGGCCTCAGGTAGGTGTCGAACATCAGCCTGATGAACACAGCCATGCCGAAGAGCTTCCACGCTATCAGGACGCCCACGATGGACGCCATCGCCGCTCGAGGTAGAGGGAGTCGCACATGAGGGGGAACGAGCTCCCGCCAGCCTGTCAAGGCGCGAGCCGCTCGTGGGCACGGAGTCCTGCCAGCGAGGATCGCGGGCAGGTAGTGCTTCAGAGCGGCCATGAATACACGGCCCGTGGCACTGTCGAAGCCGTCCAGAAAGAGGTTCACGAAGTAGGTAGCTAGGATGACATCGACCTCCTCTGCCGTGGCGAACGTCTGGGACGTCTAGCGGCACCACTCCTCGAACTTCTTGGCGGCGCCCCAGTAGTTGGCCATGGTCGTGTCCGACACGGCGGCCGTCTCCAGCACCGACAGAGCCCCTCGGGCGAGCAGCACTGGCCCAGGATGGGTCCTGGCCCTCTGCTCCGCCAGCGTCGCGGTCCGCTGCCGTCGAAGTTCGGGATGCATTCGCTTGGTGCTCCTCGAAGGTCGGCCCGACGAAGAAGCCTGTCCTGGACGGCGAGTCAGCGGCATTGCTCTCGCTGGGGATCCACCGAATGGCGTGGCGGATGCCCGTGGCCGCCGACAGGGCGCATAGGCGGCGTAGAGGGTCGCGAAGGCCTCGGGCGCCAGAACGGCCCTTGCCAGCGGCAAGAGCTAGAGCCAAATTGTCGACGGTGAACAAGATGCGATGATGACGAAGCCGTCCAGACCGAGCCGAGTGTCGCATCGCAAACCCGAGAGCCTCCGCCTCGTATCGCATAATGTCCAAGCCGAACCTCGAGTGACGCGAGCTGTGCATCGTGGCCCAGCCGTCGAAAGCCGTGATCGAGTCGGGAACTTCGTCGAAGCCGTCGAGGGAAGCAGCGTCAGCTGGTTGATGTAACGATGATGGCGTAGACGGAGGGCCCTCAGGGATCTTAGGAGGAGGCGGCATTATTTGAGGCAATTTTTGCCCACGGTAGCTTCTAACGCAGCGCGAGGCTCGATCCCGAGCGCGTGGGCACGGGCGTGCACGGCGTCGGAGGACCGATAGCGCCATCTCTCAGACAAGCGCCCGGCGGCCGCGGCGACCTCCTGGTCGACGGTCTTGCGGCAGACCCCGATGCCGTAGGGGGAGGCGTCGCTGCAGAAGGTAGTCGCCGACCACTCTGCTCTGACGTCGGCCCACCATAGCGGTATGAGAGCGGCTGCCGCGCGCAGCTCGGCGATGACCGACGGCCACAGCGGCACGGCCACTCGGGAGCCCAGGCCCATGAAGCGGTAGACTGAGTTGAAGATCGACAGCATGGGTCTATTGGTGATCATACCCCACGCACAGTGACCCACTACTGCTGACAAGGCCAGAGGCGATGCAAAGCCACGTCTAAGTAGACCGAGCAGGGCTTGACGCAACCGGCAGAGCCTGTCGATCTTACAGCGGACCTATGCCGACGTCGCCGAGGATGTCCAAGCCAGTGAAGACCACGCGCTTGGCGGCGGGGGCGAACTCGTCGACGGGCAGACCCCTCGACACGAGCACGCCACGCATGGCCCGGCAGGCCGTCGTGGCCACCTCAGGGTCGAGGGACACGGTGGCAAAGTTGTCTACGTAGCCCGCGCCGATGACGTCGGAGTCCTTCCGCAGCGGAGGGATGGCAGCGCCGCCCACCAGCATGGAGCTCTCGTCGATTCCCGAGTCGAGGATGGCCGTGGTCAGGGCGGACTGGCAGAAGTGGAGGGCCCAAGACCAGCCCATCGGCATGACGGAGACGAACGGCTGCAGGAAGGCGTTCGTCCCGATGTTCACGCCGCTGAGCCGCCTGAAGCCCAAGTATCGATTCGGGGCGACGGGCAGAGAAAAATATCGATGCAGATGTGGCGGTAACTTCATATGGTAAAATGCGCACTGAATGTCGCCCTGGGCCACGTAGAAGTCGCGGTCGGCCTCGAGTGCGCTCCATGCCGACGGAGTCGGCAGTCTCGTAGAAGGAGGGGCCGAGAAGGACATGTTGGCCACCCGCGTGTCGAAGACGAGCCGCAGGTTGACGCCGTTGGACTTCTCGACGAAGAAAACGCCAGTAGAGTAGGTAGCCTGACGATCGGCGACCTCCCACTCAAGCATGCCAGCCCGGTCCAGGCGTAGCAGAAAATCAGCATACCCCCGAAGCCGAAACCGAAGGCGCGGATCCACATAGGGCGACCCCAGTCCCGAGTCCTTCCTGAGAGCAGCTGCATCAGCAGGGTCACGTAGCATTTGATGCCTCCACCCTGACAACATAGAACGATCAGTTTCAGACACGAGGTCGGCCGTCGGGACAGGCGCCACGTGCTTCGGCCAGGAGACGAGCTCCCTGTTGTAGGGTCTTACCCGAGACTCTCCAGAGTACCCAGGCGCCGATGCGAGCAACTCTGCGAGGGCTGCCTCGCATCTCGGAGGAGATTCGGAATATCCCGGAGGTAGTTCAAAATCGCGATACTGTTGAGCAAGATACTCCTCAGCGTCACTACGAGCACGCGGAGGAAGACCCGGAGGCGGGCTGATCACATCGTTCGGGTCGCAGTGGTACATGTCGTTGCGAGTGGACACCGCGTCGTTGTACCACTCACGCCAAGCAGCACCCCTGGCGGCCCGTCTGCGGGCCGACCCGCCCATGGATGAAGTGCCTGATCTTCGCTCCACAGGAATAGGGTGGAGGGGGAAAACGTCTCGCTGCCGAGCGGGTTGCGCAGCGAGGGGGCAATGAGCCTGGCTGGCGCCACTGTGGCGCGCCCCACAGCCAGGCCTGAAGTTCTCAGGCGCCGTGGCGCCCGCAAGGCCCGCTCCTCGCGAGCCTTGCGGCGCTCTTTGCTGATGGCGGCCTCCGCCCTCATCTGGTCTGCGATGCACTCCAGCAACTTCGGCGAGATGCAGAGATTGGCCTTGGAGACGCCTGCGCCGAGGAAATAGCTGGTCTCAGGCGAGCTGGAGGTCCCAGCTGCGGCGCCGCCTCTGGCCGCGGCCTTGGCCTTGGGGGCTGCGCCGCTCGGAGTTGGCGATCGCGTCTCGTACACCCGCTCCTCCAGGAGCTGGAGCTGGCGAGCGACGATCTCGAACGATGCCATCTCGGCGATCTGCAGCTGGTCGCACACGACGGCGAGGTCCAGGACTCGGCAGAGAGTCTCGTGGAGCTTGGCGTGCTCGTCCTCGTCGGGCAACGCCATCGATGTGAGCCACCCCTGGTGCCACGCCGCGGGCGCACCCGCCATCGTCGACATGGAGGACAGGCACCAGAGGAGGGTCCTCGGCCCTTGCACAGGCCAGCCCTGCACAGGCGTCTCCGAGAGGGCGTTGACGGTCTCGCCGAACCTCCTCTCGCGCTCGCCCCTCGGGTTGAGCAGCATCGGGAGGACCCTGAAGTCGCCGACGGGGGCGGGCGCCACCGGGGCGGCGGCGGGAAGCGCAGCCTCCACTGCAGGTGCTGGCACCAGCGGCAAGGCCCCCGCGGGCCCAGGCGGGACGGCTCCCAACGCGGCGGCCAGCGCAGCGACGCCAGGGGCGACGCCGAGAGGGGCCGCCGCAGCGGCCGCGGCCGCGGGGGGCATCGCCAGCGGGGCCGCGGCCCCCGCAGGCGGCGCCGCCCCCTCCCCGCCAGGTGGTGGCGGCAGGGCCGCAGGCGGCAGGGCTGCGGCAGCCGCAGGGTCCGCCAGCGGGAAAGGACCAGGCGGGGCGCCTGCCACGTTGCCCGCCGCGAGCGCCAGCGGCAGAGGGTCGGGAGGCCTCGGGTAGCCTGCGGCCACCGAGCGAGCGACAGCCGCCCACAGCTCCGCGGCTGTCGGCAGGCGACGGAAGCGGTGCACCGCGACGCCCGCCAGGGCTGGCGGTGTGTCGCCCTGGCCCGCGAGCTGCAGGACCGCTCGCACGTCGGGGCCGACGACGATGGGCTCGTCGTAGTCGTCGAAGCCGGGAGTGAGGATATAGGCGAGGCCCCCGTTGACGCCAAGCACGAGGCGCTCGTGCCAAAGGGGGACGCCACCGACGCGGTAGCGCAGCACGTGGAAGCTGCCCGCCATCGCTGCAGCGCTGGGGCGCGGGCTCGGGCGTCACGGACCTGCTGAGCCGCGAGAGCGGCGATGTCGATGCCGTCCACGATGTCCACCACGGCGGGCGGCTGGCGGGCCGACTGCCCGAGAAGCCGCCGCGCCGCCCAGGCGCCTCCCACGGCCCCTACGGCGAGGCCGACGGTCAGCGCGGCCACCGAGTAGGCCGTGACGAGGCCCAGGCACGAGGGCTCGACCACGTGCCCGCCCGCGCCTGCGCAGACGCAGGCGGGACAGGAGAAGGTCGGAGGCGCGGGGCAGGCCAGCTGCGGCGAGCAGGCCCCGCAGCTCGGCGCGGCGGCCCTCGCCACGACCGTGGCCCCCAGCGCCTGCGCCCCGTACCTCAGGACGTCCGCCGCATGGTGGACGATGTCTTGCATCCCTGGGCAAGACACGTGAGAGACTTGAGAATGGAAGCGCGGCCCGAAAGAGAGCCACAAATAGCCGCGGGCAGCATGATGATGATGATGATAATAATAATAATAATAATAATAATAATAATAATAATAATAATAATAATAATAATAATAATAATAATAATAATAATAATAATAATAATAATAATAATAATAAATAATAATAATAATAATAATAATAATAATAATAATGATGATGATGATGATGATGGCGATGATGATGATGACGATGATGATGATGATGATGATGATGATGATGATGATGATGATGATGATGATGATGATGATGATGATGATGATGATGACAATACTGATGATGGTGATGATGATGCTGCTGATGACGACGGTGATGGTGATGGTGGCGATGATGACGATAGTGACGATGATGAAAAGTGCGCGGCTGATGCTGAAGAATCTCCTCCCGGGGGATCCTCGGAAGAATCCCCCCGCAGAGGACCCCTCAGAGCATCCCCAGGGGGGTCCCTGGAGCCCTCGGCCCCACCTCCCCGCGCGGATCCCGCGCCGCGGGCCGCCTCCTCCTGCCCCTCCTCCTGCGCCGCCTCCTCCTCACCC